ACTCCAGAACTGGAATTCAGGAGAGTGGTTTGAAACTAGCCGGGAAGGGCGGGGGGGGGGGGGGGGGGGGGGGGAGTTAGTGAGACTCTATCTCAAAAGCAAGCCAAGTGCCAGTGGCTCACACCTGTAATCTTAGCGACTCAGGAGGCAGAGATCAGGAGGATTGCAGTTCAAAGCCAGTCCAGACAAAAAGTTCACAAGACCCTATCTTGAAAAACCCTTCACAAAAATAGAGCTGGTAGAGTGGCTCAAGGTGTAGGCCCTAAGTTTAAGCCCCAGTACCGCAAAAAACAAACATACAAAAAACCAAGCTGGACATAGCACACACCTGAAATCCCAGCTACTTGGAAAGTGGAGGTAGGAGGATCATGGTCTGAGGTCAGCCCAGGAAAGAGACACTACCTGAAAAACTAAAAGCAAAAGGACAGAGGATATAATTAAAGTAGGAGAACACATGCCTGGCAAGTACAAGGCCCTGAGTTCAATCCCTAGTCCTGCCACACACACACAAAAAAAATTACTCATCTTTTTCTTATTTTTTCAATCTAGATGCAATACAATGATAGAACAGCTGAACAACAGCTGACAACACAGCAATTTTTGGTAAAGTATTTTAGATTAGTCTTAAAAACCTTTTTTCTTATTTAAAGCTGCCAAATCTATACTGCATATTTTTCTTAAATTTTTAGCTGAAAAATACAAATAAATTTAATTTTGAAAGGAAAAGTCAATTCACTTACTTAGAATATTTACATTATGCATCATAGGACTGGTGGCGTGGCTCAAGTGGTAGAGTGTCCATCTGCCTAGTAAATGCAAAGCCCTGAATTCAAAGCCCCAGTACCACGAGGAAAACAAAACAAAAACTGAAAAAAAAACCAACTGTGTACCATAAACAAACTGAAGCCACAAATGAGGAGAAAATATTTGAAAAGCATACAGTCACTAGCAGAATGGCTCAGGTGGTAGAGTGCTTGACTAGCAAAGCCTGAGGTCCTGAGTTCAAACCCCAGTACCGCCAAAAAAAAAAAAAAAGGGAAAGCATACAATCATATATATAAGTATTTCTTTCCTCCCAAAATATGTATTTCTACAAAAGCCAATAAGAAAAAGACAAATGACCAAAAGAAAAAAGGGCAAAGAACATGAACAGGGGAATGGAGTGGCTAAAGTGGCAGAGTGCCTGCCTAGCAAGCACAATCCTGAGTTCAAACTGCAGCACCACCAAAAAAACTAAAAAGAACATGAATAGGCAATTCACAAGAGAAAACACAAATGGCTAATAAACACAAGAAAAAATCCCACCTGTATGAGTAATTAGGGAAATACAATTAAAATAACATGAGGGCTGGAGGTATAGCTCAGTGTACACTCAACATGTACAAGGCCCTAAGTTCCATCCCCAGCACCAAAAAGATTAATTAATAACAACATGAGAGCCATTGTTAAGTCCATCAGACTGACATGTAATGAGTCAGACAATACCAATAACTGGCAAGGATTTAAAGAGTGCACTCTGCAACACATCTGATGTAAAACCACTCTGGAAAGGATTCTGGCAGTTGTTACTATAGTTTAAGATCTATATACTCAGTAACAGAAACTACCTAAGAGAAGCTTAAAAAGTGTGCATTAGAAAACCATTGCCAGTTATTGAGGAAAGGTGGAAACTACCAAATATTTATAAACACAACAGATAATTTCATATATTCGCAAAAGAGGAAATGAATGATCTAGGGCTACATGCACCTGTATACACAGAAATTCCCCAAACACAGAAATGTCTCTTCTGAACATGTACTTATATAAACTTTTTAAATGCCAGAACTTCCTTTACAATTTTTAGGTGCATAAATTTTATATGAAGTTGTAAAGCATGCAAAATAGTATATTACTGTAAGTTGCTTGTGTACATAAATATCTATAGTAAACATAATAAACACCAAATTTACAATAGTAATTACCCTAGGAAACGAGGAAATGGGTAGAGGATTCTTCAACAGTACTGGGGGTTGAACTTGGGGCCTTTGCCTTGAGCCACACTCCACTAGTCCTATTTTTGTGAAAGGTTTTTCAAGATAGGGTCTCACGAGTGAAGTATCTGCCCAGGCTGGCTTTGAACTTTGATTCTACTAATCTCTGCCTCCTGAGTAGCTAGGATTACAGGTGTGAGTCACCGGCGCCCAGCTTTTTTTTTTTGTGCTTGTGGGATTTGAACTCAGGACTTTCCATGCCTGCTAGGCAAGCGCTCTACCTCTTGAGCCACACTGCCAATGGCTTATTTGAAAAATTTTTGTGATGAACTAGCTTCTCTTTCCAAATTAAATGCAGAGATTGGTTTCATTTGATTAGGATTTCATTAACTGTAGGATCAATAAATAACAGGAACAAAGGCTGGGAGTGTAGCTCATTTGTAGAATGCTTGTCTGATTTGTGCAAGGCCCTGGGTTTGATCCCTAGCACTGCAAAAAAAATTTTTTTTAAAGAAAAGAAATAGTAAAAGCTTAAACAAGGTAACCAGGCACTGTGGTCCATACCTGTAATTACAGCCCTCAGAAGGCAGCAATAAGAGGATCATAAGTTCAAGGCCAGCCTGGGCTACATAGCAAGACTCTGTTTCATAAAAGAAACCAACCAACCGACCAACTGACCGACCAACCCAAAGCTAAAAACAAGGTATATATAGCAAATAAGACAAAATGTTAAAGTTCAATAAAGTTGGATGTTAGATACATGGGTGTTTATTGTATTATTTGCCACACTTTTCTGTATATGCTTGAAACATTACACAATCAAAACATGAGAGTAAATATTTGGGTTAAACAAAAGAAAAAACACAACAAAAAACCAATACACTCTTTTCAGCTCTCTGACTCTCATCAAACTCCAAATCCCTTCACTGTAACTAAGATTACACATAGCAGCCCACAAAATGAAAGCTTATTTTCCAGGCTATCACAGTTTATCGTTGCATCTATAGAACTAAACAAGTCAAGCAGGACATTTAACCTCTGGAACAAGAAAACTGCTTTAGCCAGGCATGGTGGTAGTCACCTGCAACCCCAGTTACTTGAGAGGTAGGAAGACTGCAAGTTTGAGGCCATGCCAGCCTGGGAAAAGTTAATGAGACCCTGTCTCAGAAAAAAAGCCACAAGGGCTAGGAGCATAATTCAAATAGTACAGCACTTTGCCTACCATGCCTGAGGCCTTAGGTTCAATCCCCAGTACTACTCAGTGAAAAACAGAGGAGTATGGGAAGAGACTGGAAGGAGGATGAGACACTTTAGATGTTATTTTCAATATATGCTACATATGCTACCTAACAATATATGACTGTTAATGGTCCCTAAAGTTACACAAGGCCTGAGTAAGACCTGGTTAGCCATTTATAAAATGACTTCAATTTCATTATACTTACGATAGGGTAACCAAGTGTGTCTTGATCCTATTTGCTCGGAAATGTCCCACTTTCAAAATTGAAAGCTCTACATCTCAGACAAACTGAGTTGGGTATTCTAACTTCTAGTCATGTCAAAACTTTGGAGCTACAAGATATTTTTGAGATTAATCTAATTTTACAGATGGGAAAAGTGAGGAATCCTAAATCTTCAGAGTGAAAGAAAACTTCTAGGCCATCTAGTGCTCTAGTTTGTGAATAATTTTATTTCTTTATTTTTGGTGGTACACGGGTTTGAACTCAGGGCTTCATGTTGGCTAGGCAGGCACTCTACTACTTGAGCCACTCCTCCAGCCCTTTTCTGTGTTGGATATTTTTCAGATAGGGTCTCTTGAACTATTTGTTCAGGCTGATTTTGAACCATGATCCTCCTGATCTTTGCCTCCTAAGTAGGTAGATTACAGGTAGGTGCTGGTTAGTCACCAGCACCAGGCTATGACTAACTTTTTATTACTGTTTTCAGTGACAAGTACACAGTAGCCCCTAAGGCAGCCCCTGAAGAGCTTATAGCTAGCTTTGGGTTTTTCTCCATTCTAGCCTCAACTCTAAAAATCCTACCAATTCTGTAGTTATCTCACAGGTCTTCTGAGGAGTCTGAGCTCAATCAATAATGATTACCTAACAAGGTTGAGGGCAGATTTCCTGTCTGTATATAGCCAGCAAGGAGCGTCCATTCCCCATGCAATGTGTTATACCCCTTTCTTGATTACCTCCTTTGAACTCAGGACTCTACCCTTAGCCTTGCATTGTGCAATCATTCTGTCAATGAACATTACTGAACACTGTCAGGGCTAAAATGTTCTCAGCCCTGTGAAGCCTGGTTGTACACAACTGTAATCCCAGCACTTGGCAGGCTGAGGCAGGAGGACTGAGAATTCAAGGCCAGGCTGGACTACATAGCCAGAACCTATCTCAAAAAAACAAAACAAAACGAAACTCAGTCCATAGAACATTAAGAGCAAGACAAGTAAAATAATAGTTGCCTGTGCCACAGGAAGTTGGAGAAGGCTTCATTTGAGGAGGTGATAAATGAGCCATTGAGGAACTGTATCAACTCTCATGTCTTTATTTTTTTTTAACATAAATTAATTGTACAAAGAGGTTTCACTGTGATATTCCTATACATGCATATAACGGTACTCTGGTCAAATTCACCCCTCTAATATTCTTTCTTATCACCGCCTCTTAAAATATTTTTTCCTTTATTCTATTTTCATATATGCATATGAAGTACTTCAAATGCCCATGTCTTAAACAGACTCGTGGAGCTGGGGGAGCAGCTGAATTGCAGAGTGCTTGGCTAGCATGAGGGAGGCCTTAGATTTAATACACAGCACCATTAAAAAAAAAAACAAAAAACAACCCAGCCTTATGTCTCCTAGCACTAAAGGGTATGATGCTTCGCACTCATTTGAAGTTCAAGAAATATAGACATTTGGCAAAGAAGAGAAAGACTGCCCAATCCCTCAGCATCTCGGAAATAAGGCGCATGGTAACAGAACCCACAGTTTGGCAAGGGAAGTTTCAGAGGCTGACACTGTACCTGGCTACGTACAGTATTGCTCGGGTAGTTGTCTTCAGACATCTGTGCATTCTGGAAGTAGGACAAGGGTGCAGGTAACTCTGTCATTGGAGCAACTATATAGGAATACTTTTTCACAGAAAACAAAGCCTCTTGGGGTTCTGAAAAGGGAAAAAGAAAACAGAACTTTGTGCATTACAATTATATTTTCATTTCTTAAACACTTTCATAAATTACATTTGTCAGAGACAGACCTTTCTTTCATGTGTTCTCTTCCAGGCCAAGCTGTTGAAGGACCTTGAGGGCTGCTGTCACTTGCAGATTCCAAGATTAGGTCTGAAAGAGGATTTTACCAGGTCACCCATAGTTGGTGAAATCCTACCGAATCTATTTATACCAATTAAATACTTTACAAAGTCCAATTTGCAAACCAGAAATGTGTTCATTTGCCATGACCTTTGGCTGATAGATTTGTTGTCAGCTCAAGGCACCTCTTTGGCAATGAGATGTCAAACACAAACATACTTAATGACTTTGGATTTAGAGCAAATGGAGTCCAGTGATTTTAAGGAATTTTCTCAACATTTCTTTTTCTATGCTGACCATTCCAACCTAACTTGGATATCTCCATCAATTTATCTAGTGCTTTCTACTTTTGCAAAATTCTTTCTATCATTTCATATTATCCTTATCACAATGCCCCAAAGCAAGGCAGACAGTTAACATATCTATTTATAAAAGCAGAAATGGGGCCTGATGATATAATGTGGTGATCGGTGATAGAGCAAGGTCAAGCCCTGAGGATGCTTGCGTTATACACACACATACATATACCCCCCATATGGGGACCCAGAGAGTTCAGTGATGTGCTTAAGAACATAGTTGGGTGCCGGTGGTTCACACCTGCAATTTTAGCTCCGCAGGAGGCAGAGATCAGGAGGATCTCAGATTGAAGTCAGCCTCAAAGAAATAGTTTGCAAGACTCTATCTCAAAAATAACCAACACCCACAAAAAAAAAAAAAAAAGAGCTGGTGGAGTGGCTTAAGTGGTAGAGTGCCTGCCTATCAAGTGTGAGACCCTGAGTTCAAACACCAGTTTGCCAAAAAAAGAAAAAAAAAAGAACACACACAGGCTGAGACAAGATTCATGGGCTGATGACACCAACACCCCCCCACCCAGCCTCATGTGTATGACCTAGCACAGCCTATTTTACAGAAATGACTGTCTCTCTCATACTTCACCCTCCTAGGGACCATGTTCCCACTCACCTGCCTGGCTACCTTCATTTCTATCAGTAAATTCTTCCCAACTTCAGGTTTTCCATTTCATAGAAAATCTTCAGAAACACAGAAAGATCTATTTACATACTTAAGCAGTATTACAGTTAAAACATCACAGGGGTTGAGAATGCAGTCCAATGGTAGAGTGCTTGCCTACCACATGAGAGGCCCGGGTTTGATCTCTAATACCATAAAAATTAAATAAAAAATAAATAAAACATTATAATATTCATATTTATATAAAAAAAGCATTGTGTCAATGTCCTGTTTCATTTTCACTTTTAACTTAGGATCTCCTACCTTCTAAATATTCCAACTTTTTCTTCGAATGATTTGTCAAAAAACACACAGAGCAGCCTTTTCCTTTGTTAAAGATATCAGGTTCAAATTAACTCTTACTTACCTGTATTTGGATCATTCAAATCATGACAAAGTTCTTTTTTACTGGTGGGGGAGGGAGGTGTGTAGCTGGGGCCTCATGCATGCTAAGCAAGTGGTCTACCACTAAACTAATCCCTAGCCCTCTCATGACATATTTCTAACTTTCCTTTCTATCCTACATTCTTTTATAAACTATATCTACCTATCCTCAGCCCATAGTCAGCTGGCATGGGATCAGGAAAATGCAAGTTTTTAGTTTATTTAAAAAATAAACTAAAAAGTTACAACAGTTACATTATTGGGGGTTCATTCACTGGAAGAGGGAACATGGAAAGCTACTGCTAATGTCTTGTTTCTTGATCTGGGTGCTAGCTACACACAGATTTCACTTTGTGAAAATGCACTAAGCTATACTCCTATGACCTGAGCACATGTCCATATTATACTTTAAATAATTCAAACAGACTTTTGTAGACACTAACATGGTACTTTAGTAGATAATTCAGATAAAAATTAAGATCTGGCAATACTGTGTATTAGCATACTCAAAAAAAAAAAAAGAGGAAGAATTCCAATAGAATAGTTCTGCTTTCAAAAGATACTAAGTATTCAAAGTAAATGTTCTTACCCAAAATTTCTAGATTTTTAAAAGTTAACTATCTAGTTGAAACTTTAACAATACAACATCAATAATAAGCAAACAAAGTACTTATTATACCACTCCTCTCCACAAAAACATTTACTTAGTACAGCCATCTAGCTCCTCAGCTAACTCAGAACTGGCACAAGATGACAAACAGAAAAAGTTCTTAATAGTTACCTCCGTTGGCTGCTCTGAAAACTACAATAGATTATTTAGAGTATAGCTCTATTATGGAAAAACTCTTAGAAATCCGTAATAACCATTCCCATATGATCCTTCAGAAACAAAATAAGTAAACAGAGCAGTTTGCCAACCCAAACAAAGGCAAAAGGCAAGAAAGGGTAATGAAGGCAAAAATAGATAAAAGGTAAGTAGGGTGGGGGTACAGCTCAGTGGAAGAATGCTTGTCTAGCATCATAGGCTCTGAGTTCCATCCCCAGCACCACAAAAAACAAACAAAAGGTAAGTAAAAAGAATAAAATGTATTACACTAACAGGTAAAATATTATCCATTTATTAAATAAGTATAAACTTAAATATTCTTGTGGGTTTTTCTGAGACAAGGTCTCACTATAAAGCCCACACTGGCCTTGACTTCAGTAAGTTGCCCAGGCTGGCAAGTGGGCCAAATCATCTTGCCTTGACCTCCTAAGTGCTGGGATTACAGATATATACCACCACCCCCAGCATGTACCATAAATTTAGAATTCTCAGTAATAAGAAAAAATGGTTATCCATTCACCAAATAAGACACTGACCTGCTTATTTCCATGCAAAACTCAAACAGAAACTGATAATTTTTAATTTATTATGTTCACTTTACTCATTTTACAGATGAAAGTGATATGGCACAACGGAAGTTAACTAACTTGCCCAAGGTTATACCTGGTAAGCAAAGAAACCTCATGTATTACACTATATTGCCTCTGTGTAAACCACTATCCCTGCCCTCTAGGAGTTTATAGCATTGAGGAGTAAGGTATACTGATACTGGTAAAACTACTGCTTAGCAGTAGATGAGATCTTTACCTTCAATAACTGCTCTAACTATAAACTAAAACCTCAAGTGCCAAAAACATTCTCCATATATGATCCTAGTATTTGTTGTAAAAAAGGATAAGCTATAAGAAGATGCGGTCATTTTAATTTAAGTAGTTTCCATTTCTACCCTTATGTTTATAGGATATATTAGATATTACAAGAAACCATACAAACTGTTTGTCATATTGGTGCTTCTTCAGACAAATCTAAAAATCAGCAACAATATAACATATGTCCATACTATTTTCAAGTTCTTTTCACATTTGTTATTCTATTTGATATATATATATTTTTTGGTGGTTTGAACTCAGAGTTTGCAAAGCAGGCACTCTACCACTTGAGCCATACCACCTCCACTTGATTCTTTAAAAAAATCCCATGAAAAGAATCTATATACACGTTAAAAACAAACAAACAAAAAAACCCCCACACAACTCAGGAAAGGTGAAAGAATTTGCCTGTGCATCGTTAACAGGGAAGTGAATAATCCAGGTTGTCTGATGCCCAGCCCAGGGGTCTTGCAGTCACCCAGAAAATCACAAGCCTCCCATGATGCTCTCAAGATCACAATGCTACAGGAGATGCCTTTCTGAAAGAGCTGTGTTCATGTGGAGCTCAAAAGGAAGCAGAAGCAGGCAGTAGGACCAGTCAGGCCTGTAGAACAAACACACACTGTTGGTAAAAAGAAAGGGGCAGGCCAAACCAGAGTTGATTTTGTTCTGGTTACAGCTGAAAACAATTGATGACTGCATGGAGGTCAATGACCCCACTGTTGAAGCATCTTGGTAAAAGAAATTTGAAGGTTTTATAACATTTGCAGCTGAGCCCTCTGAACACAAAAAGATAGTAGTTGGGAAGTGAGGCTCTTTCATGGGACCTGGATTGTAGAGGGAGCGGTAAGAGACTTTGGTGCTTCCTCTCTGGCCACCTAGTGAAGATTGACAGAGCATAGTATTTGAATTCATTGCCTCCCATTTCCTTTCTTTCAAGACACTTGCTCTATCAGAGAAAAGGGAAAAGAAACTGTTTTTCAGTGAGCAACCAGAATTTCTTTCTGTTATATACAGAGAACAACAACAACAAAAAAGCCTCAGGAGATCTATGAATAATCTCAAAACTTAGATGTGCTCCACCTCGAAGTCCGTCCACCTGGAAAATCTTCTCTACCCATTACCACTTCAAAAGTACCACAAGACCAATGTTTAAAATCTCAGAATAATTTATAAAAAAATTCCATTCCAGGAAGCACCCACAGAAAGCTACATTTTTTCCTCTCACTACATCCCAAGGTAACAAGTAAACCTTCAGCTCCTATAGAACATGGTTACTTAATTACTGACACCATTTTCTTGCTTCACTCTCAGAAATAACAAAAATATCTTCATGAGATTTAATACTGAGCTTCTCTAGTACAAAAGGTTTGTGATTTGCTTCAATGTCTCTAAGTCACGTTCTATCTTCTCTTTCACTTGGAAAACTGCTGAAACTACTTTTTGCTGCATCTGCATTGTGTGTTAAAAAGTTTTCAAGGGCCAAGTAAGACTGATTTATTCTTTTCCTATAAAAAGTATTTAATCAGCCATGGTGTCACTTTGACAGCTTCTCTCTGGCAGGTAGCTCAAGTTCTAATTACAAGGATAATATACTCTACTTGGGTATTTATTTATTTGTGCTGTAGGTCAAACCCAGGGCTTTGCAAGATGCTAGACAAGCACTCTGTCACTGAGCCACACCCCAGTTCTGTCAGACAGAATCTGGCCTTGAACTCAGTCTAGCTTCCACCTCCCAAATGCTGGAATTACAGGCATGTACCACCATGTCTGGCTCTGCTTGAAAGGATCATAATCAACACTAAATGTAACCAAACTCTAAACTGCATTCTATAATTAAATAAAAAGTAACAATTAAATACACCATGGAAAGACTGTTCTAATTTTTAAAATATTAAAAGCAAATCATTCCCCCAGTCCTACATGAGATTTTTTGAAAATGGTAGATGCTAAAAAAAGCAAGGATAGTGATACATACTATTTAGTGATTTTTTTTTCCCTCTTTCCATCCCACTCAACCCCTGTGAACCATCTGTGGTAGATCAGGTTATTATTCAGCAAATATCCCTTCCCTCCCCCAGCATCCCTAAGGGAGGAAAATACAGTCAGCCCTCCATATTCTCTAGTTCAGCATCCTTGGCTTCACCAACTGCAGATCGAAACTATTTGGGCGGGGGCAGGGCGGAATAAACATAATTGCACTGTATTGAACATGGACAGACTTTTTTCCTGGTCATTATTCTCTAAATGACACAAGAATTATTTATATAACAATTGTATTGTATTAGGTATTAGAGATGATTTCAAGTATACAGGAGGATGTGTGTAGGTTATAAACAAATACACCATTTTTTTTTCAGACTTTTTTCTTTCAGTACTAGGATCAAACCTAGTGCCCTGCACATGCTAGGCAAGCACTCTACCACTGAGCTACATCCCAGCCCTAAATACTCCACCGTTTTATATAAAGACTGGACCAACCTCGGATTTTGTTATCTGGTGGCCTTTAATTCCTATGCACTTCTTTTTAATACCACTGTACTTCTTTTGGGCTTGACTGTTCTTTTCTCTCTCTCTCACCTTCCTCCAGGGTACTAGGGTTTGAACTCAGGGGCTAGTCCTTGTAAGGTAGGGGCTCTAAAGTCATGCCCCCAAGCCCAGTGTTTGGCTTTGTGACTTGCTTTGGCCTGGTGGTGGGTGCAGCCTACTACTTGCTTTGGTCAATGCAATTTAGCAGATGTGACACTAGTGCAGATATTTGAACTATGCTTGTGCAGTTGGCCTTATCTTTTTGCACTTTCTTTTTTCTTTTTTTAATCGTTTTTACATTTACTCACATGTGTATACATTGTTTGGGCTACCTACCCTACTCCCATCCCCATGTTTCCTTGGGAAGAGCTTACCTTGGGTAGTCCCCACCCCTTCAGCCTTGGCCCCAGAATAAGATATGCAAATCAGAATGGTCCCAGCTGATCCACACACCTACATCCTGAAGCAGAGTTTGAGTGAGAATAAACCTCCAAGCTGCTGAGTTTGGGGGAGGTCTGTTATGTTGAGTTACTGTAGCAACTGTTTTAAAATAATGGTACTGATGGCTCAGAAGATGCAAAACGTACTAAAAGGAGTCCAGAATTCCTTATCTGAAACACTTTGGGTAAATATATTTAGAATTCAGAGTTTTTGAATTCTGTAAAGGTAACATGATACTAATGTGTAGTATCTTCAAGTGTTTTAGGATCACAAAAATCCAACCTATTATAAAGTCTGAAGCAGTCTTAAAAGTATGTAAGACTACAAGTTCAGGTCAGATTTTGCTGTCAATTTGACTAATGAAACAGATTTCAGAATTGTGGATATAGGACTATGGCCCTGTACTATCGAACTCTTTTCTTTCCACTTTCTATTTATTTTACTTTTTATTTATTTATGTATTTTTGCAGTACTGAGGTTTGAACTCAGGTCCTACACCTTGAGCCATGCCACTAGCCCTTTTTTTGTGTGTGATGGGCTTTTTCAAGATAGGGTCTCACAAACTATTTGCTTGGCTTCAAATCACGATACTCCTGATCTCTGCCTCCTGAGTAGCTAGGATTACAGGCGTGAGCCCCCGGTGCGGGGCTTATTTATTTTTTTTAGACAGGGCCTGGGTATGTTGCTCAGGCTGGCCTGGAACTTCTGGGCTCAAGGAATCCTCCTGCATAGTTGGGACTACAGATGTGTATTAACATATCTGAATTAAACTCTTAATTATAAAGATTCTTTCTCCAAAAGTTATTTAACTTCAGACACTCTAATAAAGGTATAACATGAGGGACTGTCTTAAATCTTCTGTGGAAATGGATAGAATACAACTAATTTTTAATAAAAAATTATTACTTATATTTAATTAATTTGCAAACCTCTGCAGCACTGCCTGCATTCTTCTGCTTTGGATTATCTTAAACAAGGAACTGCACAAGGCATCGTGAACCAAACATTAATACTCTTTAATCAGTAAATAGGGTGCTGCTTCTACATAAGCAGACACTGTGATAAGTGCTCAGAAGATTATGGAAATCAGATATTACTTCTGTTTACTTTAAAGAGCTTACTGTCTAGAAAGGAAAACAAATGAGTACCTTTTCTATATTGATTACATGTTGAGATACAAATGTTAGCTATATTGGGCTAAATAAAATATTCAAATTAATTTCACCTGTTTCTTGTTAGCCTTAAAAATATGCTACCCTACAAATATGTTTGTTAGAAAATGTAAAATTAGTATTTGGGGTTCACATTTATTTCTTGGCTGTACAGTGCTGTTCTAAAAAGTTTTAGTTTCTTTCTGTAACACAGGCCAACACTCAAAATGCCTGACAATGTTTTCCTCCTTTAGTGTTTGTGACACTGCACTATGGTGGTTCTCCTCCTACCACACGCATTCTCCTCTGGCCACAGGGCATTTTCACTCGCTGACACTTCAAAAAAGTGATACTTCTCAAGAACTTCCTCATCAGTTCTTCTTCCTAACTTCCTTATTTCTGAGTCAGCCTCTCCCATTCCCTAAACCTCGTCAAGTCAGTTGTACGCTTTATTTCTTGCTCCTCAGTTGGTCACCGTGCGCTGTACACGTTTCTTCTCCTAAGTTTCTGCCTACATCATTAAATATCACCTGAATTATGTAAAACCCACCTCAATTCTCGAAGGCATCCCAGCCTCCACGACCAGTGTAAGGTGCTTAAGGCACACTCCTGACCACAACAGCAAAGGGGAGGAAGAGCAAAACCTACAGACATGCAAGTGTCGGACACACATGCATCGAGACAGACCCGATCGAGTCCGGCAAGTGAGACCCGGGGAGCCTAGCTCCGAGTGCCACTCACTTTGGGACAAGGACCCACTCGGCACGAGGCGCAGGTTCACCAGTTGCCCAAGCAGACAGAGCCCAGTACGCTTCCTCTTTCTCCAGCTCCACTCCCGTCAGACTGTCAATCCGGTCCCCCGCACCTGCGCCCCGACACGCCCGGGGGAGGCCCGCATTACCGACCTAGGCTCAGAGAGGCTCTCTCTTTACCCAGATAAGTGCCGCGCCCGGAGCCCGAGAAACCGGCGGCCCCTCCTCGATTCCCACGCGGGGTTCCTCAGTCTCCAACCGGCCGCGCCCCGCCCCTCATCCTCGAGCACACCGGCTCCGCGGCCCGGAGCGACAAAGGACCAGGCCCCGCCCGCCTGCGTCCTTGCCGGGTCAGGGATGCTCCCTCTCTCCACAATCTAGACACCACACACCTTCTCTTTCCAGGCTGGGGGAGCCTGTTCGCAACCGACGTTTCCTTCCCAGCGGCCGCTGTTTTGTTTCCGATGTGAAATCGCGGCCCACTGAGCTGCCTGTCCCAGACCCCTCCCTAGAGGCCTCACCGGTGTCGTCATTTCCGGCGTGACGTTGGCGGACGGCCCAGGAAAAGGGTGGAGCTTCCGGCAGCGCGCACATATTGCCAGTCGCGGGGACAGGCTGCGTCCAGCGGCTGGAACCGGCCCATAAGTCCACAAGTTCATGCGTAAAGTGGGCCTGCTGCGTTTCAACCAGTGTAAAAGGGATGACATCTAAAATCTAACACCCTCGATTTCTCTATAGTACTTATTTGTAGTTTCTCATCACAGTATCTGTCCGTCCCTCCCCACCTAAAAAAATCAAAACTTCTGGCGAGTGGAGAACCTGAGAAAACGTTTTAAGTAGACACCCTCCTAAATTCCTGGGTTGAGAAGCATGGTATTCCTAAATAGCAAAGTTCTAGACAGTAAAAAATGTCTTATTTTTGTAATTCCCAAACCTAACGATATCTGGTTCAAACACTTGATGTTCCATCCGCCAGATTTTATTCAATTGTGGTAGAGTATCAACTAATTAAGCAGCATACCACATTCACATTCATCTGCAATTAAAAGCAGAACAGGGACTGGCGGGGTGGCTCAAGCGCTAAGAGCACCTGCTTAGCAAGCGTGAGACCAAGTTCAAATTCCAGTGCTACCAAAAGAGGAGAAAAAAAAACAAAAAACCAACCAACCATGAATACATTTTAATGCAAAGTGAATAGGACAACGGAGAAATGTCCTATCTCATATGTAATCAGTAAAATAAAAATGAGGAGTGACGTAAGTGGTAGAGCACTTACCTAGCAGGCATGAGGCCCTGAGTTCAATCCCAATACCACAGAAAAATAAAAATGAGCGCTTGCCTACAATGTGCAAGGACCTGGGTAAAAAAGTTACCCAGTGCTGGAGGATAAAGCAAAATAGTGGGTTCCACATCAAATCTGAGTTATAGTAGCTGGACCCTGTAACAACAAAAAAAAGATTCTCTCCCATGGTACCCTTTCACATTCCCAAGGCACCAATCCTCTCCCCAAATATTCATTATCCTGTTCCATTACATACATGAACTTCAGCTTTTATGTGTAAAAGCTTCTTAAAAAGTAACCTTTTTCATTAACAGGTATTTTAAAACATTCCTCACCTCCTTCGACCCCTTAAATTTCACAAGGTTATCTTTTTCTTCACCTTTATAAGACAAGTGTGGAGAACAGTGTGTACCACATAGGATAGAACAATTCACTCGATGAACAAGTATAGGCTACAACCAATCTGTGAACTAGTTCAACCTGATTGCAATCCGCTAGGATGCAATGTGATATGAGTACAACGTTTTAAAATGCTATAAACTATTCTTAGAAACAATCTCAATGAAAACATTTTGTGCAAAGATGTTCATGGAATACTGATATGGCAGAATTGGAAAGCTAACAGTCCTGTAACAAATTATGGTTCACCATGTCATTAAAGTTGTTCATGAAAATAACACACAGAGAAAACTTTATTTTGTCAAGGAAAAGACAAGACAGTTCTATTTACACTTGATGTCAAAACATATTCTCGCAAAAAAAGGAACCAAGACATTAAGAACAGTAACTGAATAGCTACAAATATTTTTTTCCATTTTCTATATTACTTCATCTTTTTAGGAATATGAACCAACACCCAGGATGCACTAAGTGAGCCAACGTGACAGCAGTTAAGATGGAGACTAAAACAAGGTAAAGGTGCTATCTAGATCAAGCCAATAGCAAATGTTGATAGTACTAAAAGAAAACCTAGCATATCTCATTCTGGCGGTCACCACTAGAATGGTGAGGTTGAGACTAGAAACATTTAGATGGCACATACAACTAGAATCTTGGTCATGTAATGGGAAGGAGACAGGATCCAAATTAAGTGTGGTTTTCTAAAACATGTTCCAGACAAAAGGAAGATGAAATTATCTGAGCAAGCTCAAGAAACTTAAGAATGTTGTTAGAAAACAGCAGTGGAGTGAGGAAGTCTTCTAGGCACAGAGTGATTGTTACTTAGCTCTAAGGAGGATGTTTTCATAAACTGGAGATGTACAACTACAGAGAACATGCCTAATACCTTCCTAACTTTTTTTTAAGCTTAAGGGTTATTTGCAAGGTGGGTTAAAAAAAAAAATCAAATGACTTTGTCATTCAGTTAGTATTTTTTTCAGTATCTGCTATGACACTAAGGGTTTAAAAATATTAAAAGCTGCACTGTGTATGAAAAGTGAAACAAAAGAATTTACTAGAGGTCCCAGAGTCTCTGTAGAAGGGAATTCCAGAATGTTCCCAACTTAGGGACAGAAATGGAGTAAATGACAAACAAAAATGGTACGAAAATTCAGCAGTAAGTGATCAAAGAAGCAGAAATTCAGAGTGCTGGATCTGAAAGAATGACTTCTGAGAGGAGCTTGCTAGAGAGGTTGGATCAAGTCACTTAAAGTCAAGACTTGGTCAATACAAGACAAAGGCCAGGTGATTCAGAGGCAATGCAATTCATCACCACACACAAAGAAAACTGCCATGTTTGCTGAAGAAAGTAGATTTGAGACTGCATATTTATCACCAGAGCTCAAGGCTTGAACACATTCTTTTTAGCTCTTACATCATTCCAATTCACTGTAAGCAATGGTTTCTTTAGACTGAGATCTGTTTGCAATCAAAAGCTGCTTTTTAGTATCTTGTATTTCTACCCTTGGGGTTTGAATGTATGTCACTTTTTTACTTTATCTAAATGAAGGAATTGGGGTTTCACAATTCAGCTCCCATTCTGTGTCTGAGAATCTAAAGGTCATCAATACAGTAAGTGATATGGCAGAGTACACAGACCCAGAAGTGCCATATAATTCAAACAATGTGGCTTGAGAAGAACTTTTATTCATTTTTGTCTATAGAAGTTGTTTTTCCTGGATATTTTAAATAGCCATTTCTAATGTGGCCTTTATGACACAAGTAATAAAATTAAATGCAAAAATCAAAGATGAAAAGGTAAGCACTCAAATGCAAATTAACATAAATATTTCAATAATTTACAATAATCACATTTCCAAAATCCGCCAGGTTATCAAAAAACTATTAAGTTCACTTCGATCTATAGTATGTGTGTGATATTAAAAGCCCCTGGGTTTAATGTGTATTTCCCTGTTTAAGACAGTGTTTCTTTGTGATTATTTCATACTCTTATCTCTAGCAGCATTCACAAATCAACTTTCACCATTTTTTGTTAAGCAAAACTGTTTTTTTCAATTCCCTGTTAATAAAAAGCTTAAATATAACCCAGCAAAATCTTGCCATTTCAACATAAAACCTTTATCAGTTTCAGGGTATTAATTGGGAACATTCATAGAACTTATTGTCAAGAGTTGGACAAATAAGCCTCATATCTGTAACCCACTTATATTTACTTGCATTTATTACTTCATATGAAAGGAAAAAAAATGATAGAGTATTTAGTTAAATTTGGTTCTCAAGCCCAATGTTTATTCAATTTCTCTACTAGCTGGTATTCATGACTGATTAATACTTGAAACAGCATTCTGAAAAGTAATGTTTATACAATTATATAGTTTATCGGAAGCACTACAATAAAATTCAATTAACATAAAATTCTCTCTAATATCATCTTTAGGGACTAACTGGGATAAAATCTAGAATACCACTGCTTTTCTCAGCCATCATTCTGGAAGATTGCATTTATGTTCATGAGTAGAACATAATATATATTCTTGCCTTAAAAATGATTTTCTCTTTAAAATCTACTTTAAGAGAAAAATAAGTTGAATTTGTGTTGTCTATTAGGATAAAATTATGAGTAGATACCATAGTGTATTAAAGTGTAGTAGTCCTTGGGCCAGTTGTCATTGGCATTGCCTGGAAAGTTCAAAAGTCTCAGGCTCCACCCAGTCCTACTAAATCAGAATTCTGCATTTTAACAAGATCCCCCAGGTGATTTAGGTGTACGTTAAGATTTGAGAAAAATTACCTCAAACATTTTACTTACCTTTTTCCTTAGAAACAAGTATACATACTTAAAATTACTTGTAGTCTCAAATAAAGAAAAAGCCTTTTAGTTTTGTAACAGCTGGATCAAGACTCAATGTAGTTTTATAAAAACTTTGGACAGGCAGTAAGAATTAATATAAGGTTTCCAAACTGAAATTAACTTATAGGCTTATCATAAACATAACCCAGGATGTTCAAGCAATTTAATAAAGTACATATTTTCCCAGACACTACAATTTGCCCCCTTTATAAATGTCCAATTTTTTATATGCAACTTAAAAAAAAAAGTTGAAGCAAAGTTTTTTTATGAGGCTTACTGGCAAAACTTATTTCAACTAGCATTACGCTTTCAATCTAATGGTCTTTATCCCTACTTACTATGACCACTCCTCCTCTGCTGATGAAATGTTAATATATGAATTTTGAGTTCCTGCCATAAATCACACTGGAGGTGTTACACAGTATAATGTGTATACTCCTAAGGGTTCCAGGTGACATCTCTAGCATTTTTTTGTTTTTTTGTATCTTTTTGGCAGGCAATACTAGGATATAAACTCAGGGCCCTGTGCTTGCTAGGCATGTGATCTACATCTCTAGTTAAAGGATTTGTAAGATAAAGAATTTGTAAGATAACCTAGTTGAAAAAGCATAAGAAATGAGCAAGTTAAATGCAATCTACTTGGATAAACCCTTATGCTAATATGGTTAAATAAAAACAACCTAATATGATGCCTTAGAAGCATCAACTGGGGCTGGAGGGGTGGCTCAAGTGGTAGAACACACGACTTGCAAGTGCAAAGAGCTGAGTTCAAACCCCAGTACTATCATTCCCCCCACCCCCCCAAAAAACCCCAAGAATTTAAAGAGTAGATATGGAAAACATATAAAATACTTTCCACATAGAACCATCAACTGTGCAACATACTAAAATAAACTGCTTGAACAAGGTCTTGGGCTGGGATAAGGGGATGAATCTTAGAAGATTGGTAAATAAATTTGCAATAGTAAGGGACAGCCTTCTGAAGTGTTCCCTTGAAAAGTCATAATCTAAAATATTTTAACACTACATAAGAGGTAATCCCATTGATGTAAAATAGACTCATTCAAAATAAACGGCCGGGTTTGACTTATTGATATCAAGTCCTAAATCCACTAAAAAAAATTTCAACTCATATTTTTAAGTTTTCTAGCATGCACTACACAATTAAAACATGATGCCATTTATTTACAAGACTTAAAGAATGCCTCTCCAGATCAAATATATACATTTTTAACATTTGAAATATTTACACAGTGGAACCATGTCATGGTTCATTGTTAAGAAAGATGTTTTCAAATGTCCTCAAGATTAAAAAAAATCTAGTAACTCACAGTTACACTTTTCTAACAGGCTGATCTTTGTCTTTCTTTTAAATAAACAGACACAGCAACAGCTGCACCTAGTTGGCGTTAAGAACTATTTAAATTTGGTACATTTTTTTAGGCAAATTTTGCTCCTTGGTTATGTTCTGATCTACAATTTTAAAAAGTCCAAGTATGTCTCCAAACACATCATCAGTATATTTAAACTTTGATGAGCAGATATAAAAATTAGTGGTTGTTAACTACTTTGAATGATTTATCCTTGCAAGTAAGATGTAAACTTTGTAAATTGCCAGGCTGAATTCCTATTGTATTGTCAAACTCTTCTAGTCTGTAAACTTGCCTAATTTTATCTTTTTTTTCCTGGGTGCTGGAGATTGAACCCAGGGTTTTTTGCATGCTAAGCATGAGCTCTACACACTGAGCTACACCTCCAGAGCTCCTGTAGTTTTTTTTCCTTTCCACTACACTTTTGGAATGACTTTTTTTTTTCTTTAAACAGAGTGGTATACAAAAATTAACTTAAGGTCAGTTAGTATAAAAATGTACTTAAAATAACTTATAGGAATTTAGAATCTGCCTCATTTCTGAGCAATGAAATTGTGTGTGGTAGGGGGATCACTATGATCCACACTCCTCTAAAAGAAGCTGAAGCAGTCAGCTATTCAGCGAAATCCCATCCTGTTAACAGTGTATATTGTTCACTGGAGGAGAATACCATGCTCTGGGAAACTAATAACCTAATTAAATCAAATATTTGGGTTGGCACAGTATCACTTTTCCTTTATGAGTCTATTGTTCAATCACGAAATGTTTAAGGGAGACCACAAAAGAAAACTAAGAAAGACTTTTATACATACATTCACACGAACACGTTCATTCAGAGATACAATAGGAATGGACTATCTGCTAATTTTTGCACTCTAATTTTTAAATTCCTTGCCTTCACAAGGGCTTGCCATTTCTGATCAAAGGGAAAAGGTGAGGTGGTAACAGATATGACTAATATTTTTTGAATTAAAATTATTCACGGTGGCTGCTTTTCAGTACAGTTCAATATTAAGTTGAATTCTGCAAAAGAATTAGGGAGTCATTTTAATATTTACAAGGAATAAATCAGCAGAACAAGATAATATCAGATAGGCTGTGTACAGTAGCTGCAGCTTATAAAACATACCAGTAATTTGTACCTGGTGAGTATAAAGAGAACCAAAGATTCAGATGACTTTACAACCAAGGGAGTTACACAGGGCATCAACAAATTAGAGGACAAAAAAATTCACATTTTCTACATTTAAAAAAATTACAGATCTCACAAATGTCTTTGGAGACAAAGAAAAATTCAAAGTCCTCTGAAGGCTGGAAAAGAAGTAATCAGAAATGAAATTGTAAATGTAGAGTTTTACTTCACAAGACCAATTTTCTTGGCTTCTGTTTCATATATCAATAATCTCCACATTTTGACTATAAAAACTTCTGCTTCTTCATCAAGTACCTACAAGAGA